TAGTGGAGGAGTCACTGTTGAGGCCAAAGGACAGGATGTGCCTGCCCAGTGCCCATTCGGAGGAGCTGCCAGGAAGCCAGTGAGGCTGGAGGCACAGTTGGGTGGGGGCAAAGTACAGAGAGTGTGACAGGGGGTAAAATTGAACATCAAATTCAGTGTGACTTTTGGGCTTCATTAATCAGGATCTTTCCTTTTTCACTTATTTCAAAGGTTTGATTTCTTAAATCCAGGCTGATAAGCACTTGGGATTGAAGCATTACTTTGGATCAAGAATTGATCACATTTTTCTGTAAAGGTGTGTGTGTGTGTGAGTGTAGCAGAGGTGGTACAGGTTCTGTGCCCTCATTTCAACTCTTCCCTTATCCACAGTCAGAGTAATGAATGAGTGGAACTGTGCTCAGATAAAACTTAGTGAACTGAATCTCAGATAATTTTAATCTTGTTTATTTCCAACCATTAAAAACTTTCGGTAGGGATTTTTTTGCTTGTTGAGAGAGCATTTGCTTTGCGTGTGTGAAGCCCTGGGTTGGATCCCTAGCAACACACACACACACACACACACACACACACATACACACACAGAGTAAAACCCCCATAGCTCATAGGCTGTACAAAAATGAGGGTCAGATTTAGACTGTAGGCTGTAGTTTTTCCTACTTCTTTTTCTATATCAGTTACCACTCAGTAGAAGCATAACATGAGTAATAAAAAATGTTCTACTTATCACATTTTAAAAATAGGTGAACTTAATTTTAATATAATTTTATTTAACTCAATATACTAAAACCTTATCTCAATATGTCATCAATACAAAATTAATTGGGGGCCAGAGAGATAGTAAAGGGTTTAGTCACTTGCCCTGCATTCAGCTGACCTGATTTGATCCCCAGTACTGCATATGGTCCCTTGAGTACTGCCTGGAGTCACCCCTGAGCACAGATCCAGGACTAAACACTGAAAAAGTATTTGTGACTTTGTCCTGCAAAAAAATCGAAAGGTTACTGGCCTCCCTCCAAACCACTAATTGGACAGTTAACATTTTTTTGTATTGTCTTCAAAATATGTTGCATGTTTAGAGCGCATTTTAATTCAGAATAGCCACATCTTAAGAAGCACTTAAAGTTCTATATACATTATATCATATAACATTATATGATATAATGCATATAGAATGCAATTCCAGATAACATATAGAGAAGACCACATTGGGGGAACATAAGCTAGTTTCCTTGAATGGCATGGCTGATGTCCTCATACAAGTGAATCAAATTTGTTTTATTTTCAGCTTTTACCTGTTTTGAACTGATCGTGTTATATTTGAGCTCCAAATTTCTTTGGGGATAGATTCATTCCTTTCACTGTAGATGGTGTGTTTTCATTGGGCCTTAGCTAGTCAATCAAACAGATTTAAAAACTAATTGCCATATTCTAGAGCTTTCCCTGTTATTGCGTTTAATGAGTTCAGAGAAAATGACAAAACGAACTGATTCAGATTAGAGGATGAAACCCTGATCCCACCTGCATTTGGGGGAGGGGGTTGCTTTGTTTTGTCCTACACCACAGTGACCTGCAGCTATCATGGTTCTTCTCTCTTGTTGCTCTAGAGGTGCAGACCCAACGAAAAGGCCTGAGGATGTGGTTCTGATCAAACCCTGTGGTGCCAGGGCTTGCCCAGGCCATTCTGCTAGAGGGCCTTCAGGGCTGCTGAGGGAAACATATGGTGCTGAGAACAGAACCCAGTTTGGTACAACCTACTGTACTTTCTCTCATCACCCTGAGCATCAAATTAATATGGCAACAGTTGTCCCAGTAGAGTAATGTAAGGAATTTCTGTGATTTGACAAAGAATTTGTAGCTATGTGACTAGTTGGGATGGGAAGGCAGTACCTCATATTTGAGTCCCCCCCCATCCAACTCACCTGTAATCCAGAGAATCTAGGTTCTGGGATGGTGGGGACTTTCAAGATGGCTAGAAGTCTGACCACTAGGCTGTGAAATTAGATGTCATCATTGAGATTAAAGGTGACTTAAGGGGCCAGAGTGATAGTACTAAGTACCAAGCCAATAGGGCATTTGCCTTGCATGCAGTTGACCTGGGTTCAATCTCTGACACCCTATTCCCCTTGACCACCATGGAGAATGATCCCTGAGCACAGAGCCAGGAGTAAGTCCTCAGCATTGCTGGATATGTGTCCCCCCCGCCAAAAAAAAATAGGTAATTAACACACACACTCACTAACCTAAATTAGACATATCTCCACATATATCCTCCTGCAGTCTAAGTCAGCTTGTATAAATTTTTATCAGTTTTTGTTCTGAAGGAGAACAGATGGTGCAGGATTCTTGGCAAACACCAGATTCTCTTGTTGCATAAGGTACTGTAAATACCATGTGGTTTTTTAATTTCCTCCTTAGATGCCTGGCATAAATATGGGATAGATAAAAAATCCATGTCTTCTTGTTTAAAGATGATTTTACCTGGTCCTGGAAGTTCTGTTTCTTTTAATCTAGAAAGTTTTGGAGCAGAGGAAAGCCTCAACTACCCTCTAATTAAACAGAAGTTTGGGACAGGTAGAAAAAGACCATTCTAGAATCCTAAAAATAAAAGAGATTCTTAGTGTGCCATCTCCATGGATTCTGGAAAAGAGACAAACATTCCTTCCCTGTATGAGATGGGCCTCAGCCATGGGCAGGAGTATGTCACACCATGCCAAGGTGATGTGAGTGGGCCCTATGGGTTGCTTATGTGAGGTGGGGAGGAGAGAATGGTCACTTTCTCCCAATTTGTCTGTCACCCCCAGACCTGCTAAGAAGACTAGGACTGATAAAAGTCTGTGATGAGCCCCTGCTTGGCACAGTTTGAGCCCTGCCAGCTCCATCAGGTGGCTGTCAAGCCACATCTGATGTCTGCTTGGTTTTCTAGGCACGGGAGTTGATCTCTGCCACCCGATTTCTTGGGGAGCCACGGACGAAGTTGGGATGAGGAATTACTCTTTTCACAAAAGGAAAGTCAGTCCTAGACCTTACCCAGGGTTCCTGGGCTCTTGCCATGCCTCACAGAAAAGAATTTCAGGAGTAGACGAGTAGTGAAGTAAAACAGAGTTTATTTGGAGGTTTTAGAAGGTTTGGAGGAGGGAAAGCGAGAGTGAACAAGTGAGAGCGAGAACAAGAGCGAGAGAGAGAGTGAGAGAGTGAGTAATGCGCTTAAGAAAGAAGGCGGGCTTCTCTAAGGGCAGAGAGAACCCCTACACACATCCCAGCATTAGATTGGAAAGTACATCTCAAGAAGAAAGATGCAGGCGACACATGTCCTTGGTGCCACCTGTACTTGGCAAGCAGCACAAGGGCTTGGGTAGCATATGCGCTTCGTCCCTTTATTCAAGGTGGCTTTTATTGGGTTTTTTTCTAAGCTGTCCCCACATGGGGCTTTCTAGTTAGATAAGAGTCCGTTGCTAGGGTTGTTGCTAAGGGGGTAGAGTGGGGGTCTTCTTTGAAACTCCTTTTCTTGACCTTTGTTCCTGCTGGATCTTCTCTCATGGAGTGGGTCTATAATGAAGAATAAGAAGCTGAATGTAATGAGAATTATGAAACTATAATACAATGAGAACTGAGATGCTGAAATCAACCCCAAGGTCAGCCTTAGAAGTGAGGAAGAGCTTTTGCTCTTTCTGACCCTAATCAGGTAGGATAAGGGCCTTCCAGAGGAATGGGAGAGCATGAGGCCTGCCAGCCTTAGGGGAATGCATGGGAGGTGACATGTGAAGGCCACACCAAATGGGCAAGAGATACTGACCTGAAGGCTGGCAAAGATGTTTCATTTTTTTCTTTTTGTAGATTATAGCTCACTCTTAGAGAATAAAGAAAAGAGATCCTCTCAGCAGACAGGGCTCCAAGTCTCTTTCTCTTCTGACTTGGGGTCCTTAGTGCTGAGCCTCTAATAAACTATCTTGTCCTGAGCTGTCTCTCTCTATTCATTCATGACTCGCCAGGACAACAGGTCCAGCCTTCTCTGATCTGGGATAGCTGAGGGTTAATCCAGTTAAAGGAAGGAATGGAAGGTTCTCGAGTAATTTCCTTCAGGCTCTTTCTGTAGGGAGGGGTCCAGTTTTCTCAGGGTCTGCTGCTGGAGAAGGTCTTATCAGGTCTTGTTTTCTTTTCTGGATCTGCAAGGCCAGACTTAGGACTGTTGACATTATTACTCCCCCAAAATTTCATTGCCATGATGTGTGTGTATGTGTAGTTCCTTCCCTAATCTATCTGCCTACAATCAGGGGGACACAAGGACAGGCTGCTCCTGCCAACCCCAAGGTCTGACACCGCCCCCCCCCCCGCCCCCCTCCCCTCCCCCCTGCCCCCGGTTACCACTTCTCCGGCAGAGTGGGTGCTACACAACTCATGCTTCTTCTACGCTTCTGTTCCCCTTTCCCTTCCTCTGTTTTGTTCTGTTTTTGTTTCGGGGCCACATCCAGCGGTCCTCTGGAGTTACTCCTGGCTCTGTGCTCAGGAATTACTCCTGCAGTGCTGGGGGACCAAATGGGATGCTTAGGATCAAGTTTGGGCCTGCCGTGTGCAAGGCAAACGCCCTATCGGCTGTATAATTGCTTCGGGCCCCCCTTTCCCTTCCTTTGGGAACTAGAAAGCTATGGGGGGGGGGGGGGGACGCGGCTCAGGATCAACCATTCCTGGCTCTGTGCTCAGGAGCAATCCCAGGAGGTGCTCGGGGGACCATAGGCAGCGCTGGGATCTGAAGCTGGGTCGGCCAGCCACATGCAGGGTGAGGGGTTTCCTCCTGTAGCTCCTCTTCCACCCCAGCTTTGTTGATTTCAACCAAATTGACGGCAGCTCACGATAGCGTTTTTGGGCCCTTATTGGGCCGAGGCTCAGGGCTTACACCCTCAGCGCCGGGCTCTGCAGGCAGAGGCCGGAACCAAAGGGCCCGGGGCCGGAACCAAAGGGCCCGGGCGCCCTACCGGAAGTAGATCCCATCGACCCCTTGTTGCCGGCGGCCGAACTTCCGGCGGCGGCGGCGGGAACCGGGTAGCGGGCGGGCGTGTAGGCCGCGGAGGAGGCGAATCCGGCGGGAATCGGAGCCATCAGAACCGCCACCATGGTGAGGAAGTGGAGGCCGGCGGCGGGGACGCTCCCGAGTCTGGCGGCCGTGGGAGTTGGGAGGGGGCCGCGGGGTCGGCGCTGCTCTGGGTCGGGCCGGGCGCGGGCCGCGGCGCCCCGGGCCGGGTGGGGGAGGGGAGGCCGGAACTGCGCGACCCAGGCCGGCTCCTGGGGGGCCGCGGCCGGGGGTGGCGGCGGGGGTTTTGGGGAGGCGCCCGGAGCCCCGAGAAGCCCGTGCCCGGCCCCGGAGAGGCCGGAAGGCGGCTGCCCCGTGGGCACGAGTGAGTGTCCCGGTCCCCCTCCTCCCCCGTGGGGGCACCGGAGCCGGACACCGTGGCTGCAGCTGGGCACTGCAGGCCGCCCACCCCGCACGTGCCAGCCCCCCAGGAGCGGGCTCCCAGGCGTGTGGGTGGAAGCGGTGTTCTGGGTTGGAGCAGGACCCCTCGCGGGATGCCTGGGGGCGTTGCCTCGAAGCGCCCCGCTTGCACTCGGCCCCCGAGGCCGCCACCCGGCTGGCTGCAGGACTGCACCCCGGTCATCTCATCTTGGGGCTGGGAATGGTCCCAGGTGGGCTCGTGATTTCGGGGAATGAGGCGCAGGTACACAGTGACACAGTGATGGGATACGCTACCCCACGACCCGGTGAGCTGTTCAGGGTAGATGCAGCCACCAGGGTTCGAGAGAGATTCAGATGGGTGTTCCAGGGATGAGCCAGGCTCTCTGGGGAGGCGGGACACTGCGATCCCTGTGTTTGTAGGTCCTGAAACTTGTGGGCAGAAGGCACTTGGCTTCAATTAGGGCTTGACCCATGGCCAGCTAATGAGAGGCGGAGGCATAGATCAAGTGTCATGTCATTTGTTTCTAGAGATGTGACTGCCCAGGGCACTTGGCAGTTCGAATTGTGGTACCTATTACTGCTTATTTTTTGGTGGTGTCAGGAATTGAACCCAGGGCCTCAGGCCTGTAAGGCCAGGGCTCCACCACTGAGCCTCATCTCTGACCCCAGTAGTCTTATTATTTTAACAAAGCTCCAGTGGAAGGCAGAGTATAAAGCAGAAAATGTTTGTTAAGTAAGTATATGGTTTATTTTCATGGTGGGGAGGGTTATGACGGACAGGGTTCACTCCCATCTTGATGCTTGGGAGGGTGGCAGGGACAATTACACACATGTTACGGTGCGAGGGATCCCATTTGGGCTGCCTGCAGGTCACACATGCACTCGGGCATGCTTGGCTTTCTCTCCAGCCCTGTAGAGCGGATATTCCTAAAGGTCATCATGCTTTCAAAGTAATCACACCAGGAGGTTTCTTCCCAAAGGTAGTTTTGGGGAGACACAGTTCTTGGTTTGAGGATTCAATTTTCATTTCCTTTTTGATAATAAACACCTTGTTGATGGGATTTTTAGTATCGGTCACATTCCAGTGCCAAGAGACTTGAATCACAAACTTAGAATTTTGCTGGAGCGATAGCACAGCGAGGAGGGCATTTGCCTTGCGTGCGGCCGACTTAGGTTCAATTCCTTCGCCCCTCTCGGAGAGCCTGGCAAGCTACCGAGAGTATCTCGCCCACACGGCAGAGCCTGGCAAACTCCCCGTGGCGTATTTGATATGCCAAAAGCAGTAACAACAAGTCTCACAATGGAGATGTTATTGGTATCCACTTGAGCATATTGATGAACAACGGGATGACAGGCAGACAGACACAGTGGCAGAGAGGACAATCTCTGGTGTGCATGTATAGGGTGAGCTTGGAATCCTCTACCCTTTCATCCCAGAAAGTGGTACGAATAGACAGAGGCAGTTGTCTGATGACAAAGATTGTTTTTCAGTGCTGGGGATGAAACTCGGGGCCTCACACGTGGGAGACGGTTTTTAGGAGTAGGAAAAAGCAAAGATGAGGTTGACAGTAGGTGACTTGGGAGAATTCTTGGGGCCGGAAGGAATTCGTGCACTAGGACAGCTGAAGATGTGCTGCGGAGCCCAGGCCTGGGAGGACGGGTTTGCGTGAGTGAGTCTGAAACACTGAGTTTCTTCCCGCTGATTCCTCCCTGCAGACTGTGGGCAAGAGCAGCAAGATGCTGCAGCACATCGACTACAGGATGCGCTGCATCCTGCAGGACGGCCGCATCTTCATCGGCACCTTCAAGGCCTTTGACAAGCACATGAATCTGATCCTCTGCGACTGTGATGAATTCCGGAAGATCAAGTGAGGAAGTGGGCGGGGGGCGGGGCCTGGGGGCGGGGGAAGGGATTGGGAGGGTGAGCCAAGTGACAGGTGGTAGCTAGCTGGCTCCTGGGCTTGCTGTCCTGCTTCTGAGGGCAGAGTTAAGTGGGGACAGTGGACCCTGAGGAATCCAGCAAGGCTTTGCTCTCTTGTTCTCTGGAGTTCAGTTCTGAGGGCTGCTAGGCTTTTTGTTTCTCTGTCTTCGTGCCCCTGGCTACTGGGGTAAAGGGCTTTCGTGTTCTCCCCACAGGTGTGTAAGTGGGGAGAACTTGGTTTTCTGGCCTCATTGCCTATTTGTAAAGCTGTAGCCTAAAAGGCTCTCCCAATGCAGCCTGGCCTGAAACTGCTTTAAGAAGCCTCTGACCCTCTTCGGGGTAAGTGCTCAGCTCCCCATGTGAGTTTGGGGCCAGTGATTTTTGTTCACTTTGATAGAATCGATGATAGATACTTCCTACAGTTTCATAAGTTATTTCTAATAACTCCCTTGTCTTAAGACAGATCTTGAGCTTCTGGCCTATTAAAAGATGTGGTGTACCTTTATATTGCTCTATATTTAAGGCATTTTGATACCCAAAGAGAGTGTAGGTGACGTTCTTGGTCATCTAACTCTTTTTGCATACAAGGTAACCATAATCCCTCTGAATCCCTTTGGTGCTGTTTTCTTAGTGACAGAAGGTTTGGAGGTGTAGGACTGAAAAAGGGTAGAGATGGCCGAGTGCCAGGTACACACACGCTGGGGGCCAGCTGGTCAGAGTAGAAAAATTACAAATTGGGTCTTGCTGCTTAAGGTGAGGCTAGTTTAATTTTGATAATTAACTTTTATCAAAAGATATGTTTTAAAATAAAGATATGAAAACTGTTTAAACTTGCAAAGGATTTTTTTGGGGGGGGGGTTAGGGAGGTGTATGTGAAAGGGCATTTTGTTAAGGTATAAAATATGAATAAACCAAAACAAAGGAAGAAAGGCCACCACAGAAAACCACTGTTCGTTTAACATCAGATGTCATTCAGATGAACCTTTTAAGTTTTTTAAGATCAAGTGTATTTTTATTTTTAGGAGTCTGACTTTTCACCCTTCTCTAGTGGTTATTTTCCTGTTTATATTTCTATTCGTCCTTTCTGTTCATCTTTTTATGGTAGTTGGTGCTTGAGAATTTCTTTGTTTTGGGGACAGGTCTGATTTCTAAGAGGTTAATGCCTTCATTTTCTGTTCCGTCTTCTTTTTCTGATATGAATCAAGGAAAGGGATTCTAGGCCTATGGGGTTGGCTTGCAGTGCGAGTGGGAGGTCAGTTGCTAAGCAGTTGCTTGTGCTGCCTCGGCGTCCCGAGAGGCCTGGAGTAGATAGGCGGGACTGGGAGGCAGCACTCGGAGCCTGGCAGGGGAGAGGCCTGTGCAGTGGCTGCAGACCAGCCTGCGACCCAGGGCAAGGTGTTCCTGGCTGTTGTCCTTGTCTCTTGGCCTGCGCATTCTCTGGGCACGGATGGCACCCCCATGGGCTTACACATTTGGACTGTGAAGACTGTCTTGAGGGGCTGTCTTAAGGGAAGTTCATGTGCCATGTGCTCGGAGAATCTCAGGCCTGGAGACAGGTGAACTGAGCTTTCTTCCTAATGCTTGCTATTTTGTTTCTTGTAAACCTTTCTTTAGGCCAAAGAATTCAAAACAAGCAGAAAGAGAAGAGAAGCGAGTCCTTGGGCTGGTGCTGCTTCGAGGGGAGAACCTGGTCTCGATGACAGTAGAGGGACCTCCTCCCAAAGATGTAAGTCAGCATGCGGCTGGAGCTCACTCCATAGGGACAACCACCGTGGTGTCAAGGAAGTGAAACACATTTAATCCTCCACAATCTTAGACCCATAGACCCCAACCTGTGTTTAGAAATAGAACAGGATTTGGGGACACTAACCAGACTTGTTTTCCCCTATTCATCCTAAAGCATTGTAGGGCAGGAGAGAGAATACAGGACGGAAGGTGCTTGCTTTGCGTGCAGGTGCCCTCAGTCCAGTCCTTGGCACTGACGTATGGTCCTCTGAGCACTGCCAGAAGTGACCTCTGAGCCCAGAACCAGGAGTTAGCCCTGACACTGCTATGTGAGGCACCCAAACGAAACAATTCAGAGGAGTATTACATTGTTTTGTGTTTGGGGGCCACATGGAGCAGTGCTTAGAGCTTTTCCTGGCTTTTGACCCCCTTAAAAATGTTTATAGGATGTTTATAGAAACATTCCTTAGCTTTAAGGAAAAGATGGAAGCAAGGGGTTAGAATAAGCACTAAATTCTATGTTCTCCAGCACTAAATTCTATGTTCTCCAGCATGGAATTTGTAGAGCCGTGTGTGTGTGTGTGTGGTGTGGGGATGCTGTAAAGCGTATGGTGTGTGTATGTGTGTGGTGGTGGTGTAAAGCATACGTATGATATAATTCTTGGTATCTGTTTCCAGTAGGGTTTACTGCTGTGATGTAGACCATTGTAAACCAGTATCCTTGTAAGAAGTCTTTCGAGATAAAATTTTCCCACATAGTAGAAAAAATAAGTTGAGCTAACTTGTCTCAAAGCACTGGTTGTGGTGAAACTGATGTTTGATCCTGAGCAGTTATAGTCCCGTCATCTGTGAATTGCCAGCAGTCTCAAGGTGGGGGATTATTTGCCCATTATCACCCACCAAGTGAGGATCATCTCTGGGGATATCCAGACCTTTCTTGATGGTGGCATTTTAAAGGACTTCTCACTAGATTGATCTCTCGTATGTTTGTTTTTCAGACTGGCATTGCCCGAGTGCCACTTGCTGGAGCTGCTGGGGGTCCAGGGATTGGCAGGGCTGCTGGCAGAGGAATCCCTGCTGGTGTTCCAATGCCCCAGGCTCCTGCAGGACTTGCTGGGCCAGTCCGTGGGGTTGGTGGACCATCCCAACAGGTGAGGAATTGGGGAAGGATACCAGCTTCTGGGTAAAAGAGGTTCTGTCATTTGGGCAAATTGCTGATTGACCATCCTGTGGCCATCAGGCTGTGTCTCAGTGTACTTGGCATGGGATCACAGAATCAAGTGTGAGGAAAATTCGCCGTCTTGGTGTTTTGAGAAATGCAGAAATAGCCACACTGTGTTGGGATAAAAATGTTATATGACAATGTTTAGCATGCATTCTACAACCAACTGCAGTTATTTAAGTAGAGGAATCTCTGACTTGGTCTGGGCAGCCTAGACTCAGACTCTGAGGAAGGTACTTGGTTCTTTAAGGATCTTTTAGAGACAGTTTGCGGTACGAGGTCTGATGCCAGGAGCTGTAATTAGGGAATATGGTGCCTGTTGGGGAAGTGATTGAGGTGCTGCTTTGCACTGCCCTGTACTTCTGTGTCCTTGCAGGTGATGACCCCACAAGGAAGAGGCACTGTTGCAGCTGCTGCTGCTGCAGCCACCGCCAGTATTGCAGGGGCTCCCACCCAATACCCACCCGGCCGTGGAGGTCCTCCCCCACCGATGGGCCGAGGGGCACCCCCTCCAGGTGAGACCCTTCAGCAGACTGTCGCTACTGATTGATAGACGCCTGCGCTGGATTTATGGGAGATAACAACCTTGTCTGAACTTGGTGATGGATTTTGTGATGAAGCAGGGTAACTCTGAGGTTCAGTTTGGCTGGTTGACACTGGAACTAGGTGGACAAGAGCCACTGCAAGGCCCACCTTTGTCATGAGTCCCAGTTTGGGGAGGTTGGGAGGTGGGGCTGGTGCATCTGTCAGAATGTGTGAGACAGCTGTATGTTTCCTGGTGCCTCTTCAAGACCCTGGAGCTGTATCTCTGGCGCTTTTCTCTTGTAGGCATGATGGGCCCACCTCCTGGCATGAGGCCACCAATGGGTCCCCCAATGGGGATACCCCCTGGCCGAGGAACTCCAATGGGCATGCCTCCTCCGGGAATGCGGCCTCCTCCCCCGGGGATGAGAGGTAAGTGCTGGGCAGGGTGACCTGGGCTCCCTTCCCCAAAGCCCCATGGGGATAGGGAAAGAGGGAAGGTTTCATTGATGAGCCCTTGTGTGTTCTGGGGCCTTAGAGCCTTGGAGAGTGGACTCTCAGCTGATGACTGTTCAGAAAGGGAAGAGGATTGATAATCTTTAAATCGATCATCCTGTACACTAGAGCAGCCTTTTACCAGGGAACCTGCCTAAGTTCTCAGCACCCACGGCAGTGTTTTCAGGGGACCCTGAAGTAATACTATCTCCAAAAAGTTAATAGAACTTTCATTATACCCTTTCAATTAAAGTGGAGGGGCGGGAAGCAAATGCTTGGCTTTTACTATTGATACATACTAAGTCCGTATTTGAGAATTACCTGGGTCAGCCCTCGTTTCTGGATGAGGAACAGGCGCAGAGAGAGCTTAGCCCTGCTGTCCACATCAGTGCTCGTCTTGACACTGAGCATCTTGGCCTCTAAGATACCCCTGGCTGTACTTGGTGACTTGCTTCTCTAGGTTGGGTTTTTCTTTTAGGGATTTCATAAGCCATCAATTGTAGGGATCCGGTTAGCCCAAGAGATACATCCCTCTGATCACAGGGTAACAGCAGCAAGGGGGAGGCTGGGGCGGGTACGGATTGGAGTCATAGATCAGGCACTGACTAAACTTCTTACTCTTACTTCAGGCCTCCTTTGATCCTTGGCCAGAGTTGTGGAAGTAGCTCTCCAGAAGCGCGGGCCCGATTCCCCAAGGCCACGTTCCCACAGACCTATTTGTTTCTTATGGCGTTGTTCATGGGGTCTCACCGGATTGTCTGGTTTCCCTTTCAGGGCCCCCTCCCCCGGGAATGTGCCCACCAAGGCCCTAGACTCAGCGTGGCCCTCCTCAGCTCCCTGCCTGCTTCCTGCAAGGCTGTACATAGTCCTTTCATTTCTTCGTGGCCTGTGAAATTAGTTTGTAATAAACTCGAGAATATCTCAAGTGCTTCTGGTATCTGTTTATTTTTAGGAAATCTTTGATAAATATAAAAAATGAGTGACTGGGAAGGTAGTACAGAGGTTAGGGTGCATCCCCAGCACCCCACCCCTCCCGTTGCTCCCCTCCTAGCATCACTAGGTGTGGCCTAGCTGGTTACTGGCACCACAGGACCCGAGCAGCTCTGCCAGGCCTCAGTCCCTGCATCCTCGGCATCGTGCATTGAACTTATGAGCCTGTGGGCTGAGAATCACTGGAAGTAGCTCCGTGGCTCACTGAGCACTGCCTGAGTACTCTCCAGAACAGCAAAGGTAAAAAGCCCAGTTACCTGGGAGAGGAGCCACTGGGGATTGCTTTCTCCCTCAACCATAAATACACATGGAGTTCAGTTCCTGAGTTCTGGGAGCTCCATGCTACCCTCACCCAGGTCTGTTCAGTCCCTGAGCGGCTGCATCCTCAGGAGAGGTGGGCGCTCTTTCCATTCCCCTTTCCTCTCCTTCCTTTGCCCTTTCCCCTTTGACCTTCCTTTGATAAGGAGGCCAGGCCACTCCCAGGGATTTTCAGCCAGTTGGGTGGCAGTTCAGTGTAAGGGCCTGAGGATGAGTTACTGCTTGGCCCTCACCGTGCTGAAAATTACCCAGGCAACTACTGTCTCCATCCCTGATCTGTTTTGGTGCAAGGGATGAAACCTAGGGCCTCCAGCTTTGACACATTTTTGGAGTAGGAAACCTCAGTCATCAGTTCCCAGAGGTTCCCAGGGATTAAGCCCCAAGGTTCCCAAATACACAATATTCGCTACAGCTTTCTAGAGATCATCTCCTTGGCTCTGGACACTGCGATTGGTGGAACCTGGTAAGGGATTGAGGATACATCTGGTGATGCTCAGGGGTGCTGATTGCACTTCTGGTGGTGCAGGGGGTATCATATGTTGCACTGGGGATTAAAGTCGTGGTCAGCCACATGCCAGGTAAGCACTTCAGCAAGCCCTGTAGCATCTGGTGTTGGATACTGTTCTGAAATCACTGTTGGGAAGACAATTCCACATGCTAAGGAGATAGGAATTAAAAGCACAAACCAAATAATGGTGCAGTCTAGGAGTGCTGCGTTTCTTCAGAGTGTAAGAATGGTTCCACATAAAAACCTTTAGAGGCCTGCAAGATGGCATTGCTCAGTGCTGGAGCACTTAATGTATGTGGAACCCCAAGAGATGTGAAAATCTAGGAAAAATAACCATTGGTACATATATTGGGATACCTATATCAGGAAGAGTCACATGGTAATTTCAGTGTAGAAAAAAATTCTAATGACCTCATATAAAAAGAGGGATCAAGTTTTCTAAGCATGAGAGATTAAAGAAAAATAGATGATACTTAGTATCAGGAACAATTTAACAAGTTATCCTCTTCTGTTAACACTGTACTGAAAATTCCAGCAGGAGAATTACACAAGACGGGCATCTAAATTGGAAAGGGAGAAAAAAAAAAACTAGCATCCTTTATATAAAAAATCCTGAAGAATTTATAAGAGCTAATTGAGAATTTGTAAGAATTAAATGAATTCAATAAACTTTCAGGGTAGATCACAAAAGTCGCTTCTATTTGCATATCAGAGAAAATATCCAGGATATATTTTCAGTAATATCAAGAGGAAAAGTTGATTTACTGAGAGAGAAGAATTATAGAAGATATACATTGAAAACTACATTCTGGAAGAAAATGTAAACGTGTTCATTGTCTGGAAGACTACTGATGACAGTATTTGGGACTGGGAAAATAAGGGGTTGGAGTTTGTCGCAGGGGCTGATCCCTGAACCCTGCCATTGCACGCGCTCTTCCCATCCCAACATAGGGTGGAGTCCTGGTGACCAGTCCATTATCACCCCAACTCCGTCAGATCCATGAAGTTCCCAAAATGATGCCTACATTCAAAGCGATTCCCACCAAAATTCCAGTGTCCTTGTTTTTTGTGTCTTGTGTATTTCAGAAATACAGAAACTGAACCTCAAAATTCATAAGCTGAAAGGGTTGACACATTTTGAAAAAAATCAAATGTGAATGTCTCAAACTCCCAAAGTTTATTATGAATGATTTTTACCCCTTCCCTTTGGTTTTTGGGCCACACTGGGTGGTACTCAGGGCTTACTCCAGGCTCTGTGCTCAGGGATCACTCCTGGCAGCCTCAGGAGGCCACATGGGGTTTCAGGGATCAAACATGGCTTGGCAGTGTGTAAGGCAAATGCCCTAGCCGTTGTATTATCACTTTGGCCCCCTACTTTGAAGGCTTCAGTGATTTGTGGTGCTGCTGTTAGAATAGAGATCAGTGGATTTTAATTGAGAATTCAGAAATCAAGTGTTCAGACATTTATTTCATTGGGGAAAAAATAGTCTCTTACAAATGGTCCTGGGACAGCTGGATAACCACATCAAAAGAATCTTTATTCTGAATTCTAACCACTAGACCACAACAGAAGTTTGCTTTTAAAAAATTTTTATTTTTGTTAGGGGAAGGAGGGGTATAACTGGGTATGCTTAGGGTTTAATCCTGGCTCTGCTCAGGGATAATGTGTGGCTCTGCTTGGGGCAGGGTTGAGGGATCAAACCCAGGTCAGCCACATGCAAAACAATCACCACTGCTGCTTCTCTCTCTCTTCCTCTCTCTCTCTCCCCCCCCCCCCCCAAATCTAAATATAAGAGCCAAACCTATAAAACTGGGAGCAAACAGGTGACTTAAGACTTTGGGTTGGGTAATGGAATCTGAGGCTTGACACCAAAAGCACAAGCAAAAGAAGAAAAGTAAACTGGGTGTAAAGGTGAACGCCTTGAATGGGAGTGACTCAGGGTCAGACCCTGGCACTACGTGGTTACCAAGCACTGGTAAAGACTTGGAGGTCCCCTGAGCATCACCAAGGTCAGGTCATCCCACCACTATGGCACCATCTCCTTAAACCCTCACATTGACTGCCAACTGCTTGGGAGGCTCCTCCCTACAAAACAAACAGAAAATCCCCAGTAAATTTGACTTCATAAAAATTAAAGACTTTTGCCCATGAAAGGGCATTATCAGCAATTTGAGAGGACAACCTACAAAATGGGAGAAAACATATTGCAAATCGTATATCTAATTTGGGTTTAATGTCCAGACTGTATAAAGACCTTTTACAGCTCAGCAATAAAAAGATAAATAGCCCAATTAAAACATTTCTCCAAATAAGCTAGACAAATGGACAACAAACATGAGAAGTTGCTCAATATCATTGGTCATAAAGTGCAAATGAAAACCACAGTGGCATGCCACTTTCTACCCACTAGGGTGGTTTTAAGGGGAAGAGGAAAACAAATGTAAAACAACTCTTGGCGGATCTGGAGAAACAAGTCTTTGTACACTGCTGGTAGGAATGTACTAGGGAGCAGTCACTATGAAAAACGGTTTGTCAATATGATACGAGCCTGCAAGTTCACTTCTTGATATATACCTGGAGGACTGGAAAGCTCAGTCAACATAGAATCTGGTGCACAAATATGTATAGCAGTTTTCTTCATTATAATTGAAAACTAGAAACCAACTCCCACTCCTCATGGTTGTATGAATGGATAAACAAATTGGAGAATATACATTCACTCAAAAATACATTATCCAGGGGCTGGAGCAATAGCACAGAGGATAGGGCATTTGCCTTGCACGTGACCAACCCAGGTTCGACTCCCAGCATCCCACATGGTCCCCTGAGCACTGCCAGGAGTAATTCCTGAGTGCATAAGTTAGGAGTAACCCCTGTGCAATGCCGGGTGTGAACCAAAAAGCAAAATAAATAAAATGTTAAAAAAAAAATCCAGCCTAAAAAAGTGAGTGGTGAGACATTACCACTTGAATGAATCGCAAATCCTACCCGCCTCAGCTTTTTTAAAATTTTTAAATGAAAAAAGATCACTACTGAACTCCACAGAGAAGCCAACCTCCCAAAAATTTCAGTTACACTTTTTTTTTTTGTTTTGTTGTTGCTTTGTTTTGTGATTGAAAACTCTGGGCCTTCTCAGAGTCCAGATGGGAGATGGGTGATCCGCCCCCCCCCCCCCCCCCCACACACACATACACACATAGCCACGCCCATGTCCCACTGCTGCTGCTGTGTAAGCTCATCTACGGCCCTGTTTCAGAGACTCTCAAATAAATCTCAAAAGAGATCAATTGGCTGCAAAAATTTCTCAGATACTCAGTCTTGGCTGAGACCTCCAGGGCAATTTCAGAAAAGGGTTGGGCCAAGTTCTTGCCCTCCCAAGGCCTGGGCAGCTACACTCGCCACTCAACAGTTTCTGCCGTATCTCCAGCCGGACTGCCCCGTTAAATAGTCTAGATTTTCTAGAATATTTGGGGCCGCGCAATATTTCCAAACTCTACAATACTCACATCCTTGTCGGAGCACATCAGATTAGGCGGAAATGTAACACAGAAGCCAATTAAGCACTTACAAAACCATTAACACTGATGGCTTAACTCGCAATGACAGCAGCTTAGTAAAACCTTCAGACAAGGACTTAATGTCCTCCTTGTGAGATACAACAGTTTTCAATTTTTTTCTTTTATGGAAGCATTGTTTGTAATCGTTCCGTTAGCCATTTAGTGGTAACAAGCAATACAAAATACATTATTGTGGGCCTGCTAGATGGACTTGAGGGGTGGGTGGGAATTGGAGACAGTGGTGGAGGGAAGGTGACAAGTGGTGGTGGCATCAGCACTGGAATATTGCATGCCTGTAAAAAATCATGAACAACTTTGTGATCATGGTGTTTAAATAAAGTGGGGAAAAATTTTAAAAAGGTAAAAGAAAGCATACACAAAAGGCAGCATTATAGAGTTCCTTTTTGTATGTAGTATTCAGAATAGGTAAAACTTTGAGACAGAAAGATTAGGAGTTACATGAATGGAGACGGCGGGGGAGGGGAGGGCGGGGGGAGAGGTGATGGTGGGGGGGAGGGAATGGCGGTGGGGAGGGGATGGTGGTGGGGGGG